GAACAGGCTGCCCAGGGAGGCTGCGGAGTCTCCTTCTCTGGAGATATTCAAGACCCGCCTGGACAAGGTCCTGTGCAGCCTGCTGTAGGTGACCCTGCTTGGGCAGGGGGGTTGGACTGGGTGACCCACAGAGGGCCCTGCCAACCCCTACTATTCTGTGATTCTGTGATTCTGTGATTAACGACATAAGACAGAATCGACCCCTAACCTCCCCTGCTGTCCCGCGGATAGAGCCGGAGCGTTTAATGGGGCAGTTCCACGTCTCTCTCCGAGCAATCGCTGCAGAAAACCACGGCGATTCGCCCGCGCTTCTGGTCTGCGTTTCACCTCTGCCGCTGCCGGTCTCGGCTGTGTTACAAGCCCTTCACCAGAGTTCACTGCACGGGCTGACACGGCCACGCAGCACGCGATTGCAGAGCGTGACACACACCCCGGGTCAGCCCATAGGCACAGGGCAAAACGCCACCGGCCCCAAAGGCAGCCCTGGTATCGGGCAGCATGCTTGGGGCCAATTAACACCAATTATCGGTGCCACATTCCTCCCGGAGCGAGGCCGACGGATCTGCAAGGTGCCGCAGAGCTCAGCGTGTGGGTTCGTACCTCTGCGCTGCTCTCTGCGAGGAGAGGTCGGCTTGCTGGCTTTGGGTTTCACTGATGCTGTCGCAGCCCAGTTTTAACCCCAGGGTCTGCCCCTCTTGGATGTGCCACAAACCGTGGTCCGCCCCACCAGGCACGTTCGTGTTCTCAGCCGGAGCGGAGCCAGAGCCGGATCTGCAGCTCCCAGCACCGCAACGCTCCAGCTCGCTGGGAACAGGAGCATCGGGGAGGGCCGGGGGCAAGGGATTAAGACATATTCCCCAGGGACATGGGCCACTTGGGCCCCAGAGTCTTCTCCCCCAGTGTCTCCCCTGGCCTTTCTCATGCAAAACGTCTGGTGACTTCAATGGAAGCTTTCACTACAGCAGGTTCCTTGGGTTGTGGGATCATGACCGCAGCTGGAAGGGCAGCAGAAAGAGCTATGAGCGAGCAGGGCAACTGCGTGTTGTACCTTCACCCTCCGGCTCTGCCGGAGCCCGGGCTCGGTCAGGCACCTCTCCCTTGGCGCAGCCGGCCCCAGCTCCCAGCTGGGTTCCCGGCAGGCACACAGCAGCCAAGCTCCCCAACCCATGGGAAGGACGGCGTGGGGCTAGCTTTCCACCCAAGCGCAATGGCATCCTATCATTTAGGTTCAACAAGGGCAAGGGCAGGGTCCTGCACCTGGGGAGGAACAACCCCAGGCACCAGGACAGGCTTGGGACGGACCTGCTGGAGAGCAGCTCTGCGGAGAGGGACTTGGGTGTGCTGGTGGACGACAGGGTGACCATGAGCCAGCAGCGTGCCCTGGGTGCCAAGAAAGCCAATGGGATCCTGGGGTGCATCAAGAGGAGTG